CCCCTACCCCGAAGATGACCACTCTTCGGGTGCTGCTGCACGTCGCCGCTCAGCGTGACTACGAGCTTCACTCTCTTGAGTTCAGCTGAACCAAACTAAAACAAATACCTGAGGCTGTACCAACGAAAAAACCTGCTACCTTGGGGGAGGGAGGTCTAATGGGTGTGACAAAGAGCAGTGAAGAAGGGAGTGTGATGCATGGTGCAAGCATGACAAGAAAACAAACAGAGTGCGAGGGTTGGGAGAGGAGAGGAAGGGCGGGGTACTTAGCTGTGGGTTGGTTGGGTGGAGAGCAGCTGCTGCCTGTGCACCCCATGTCCCCCGCCACTGCCACTCCCGTGTGAGCGACCTGCTGGGACGAGAGGGGGCAGACGTGACAGAGAGAGGAAGGGAGGGGTTGGGGGTGGGAATGGGGAAGTGAAAGGGGAACAGAGGAGTGGGGGTGCAAGCGGAAAGAAGCAAAGACGAGTGGAGTGAATAGGGAGCGAAGAATGCAGCAAGTGCAAGCATGATGCGTGCATAAATGGATTGCTGCAGTGGCACACCCAAGAGACCTCGTACCAGCTAAACCAAACTCAAACAAATACCAGAGGCTGTAGTACCAAAGCAAAAAATACCTGCTACCTTGGGGGAGGGGGGTCTCATGGGTGCGACAGAGGGCAGTGAATGTAGAGCATGATGCATGGTGCAAGGATGACATGAAAGCAACAGAGTGGAGGGAGGACAAGGCACTTAGCTGGCGGTTGACAAAGCAACGAGAGCTGGTGGTGCTGCCGCAGCTGCTGCTCACCCCCACGCCAACAGATGTACAGCCGTGCGACCATTTCGCCAGCCATTACGCGCGGACGACCATTCCGCCATGCGATGTCGGACGGACGACGATTTCGCCATGCGATGTCGGACGGACGACCATTCCGCCATGCGATGTCGGACGGACGACCATTCCGCCATGCGATGTCGGACGGACGACGAGTCTGCCGTGCGACGACGCGCGGACGACGATTTCGCCGTATTACGATGCGCAAACGACGATTCCGCCGTGCGACGACACGCGAACGGTTCCGATCATGCTGCCCCGATAGCGTTGTCAGTCGTACCTGAACGCAGGCAGCGCAGCAATATGATGGTGTTTTCAAAAGTGACACTAACGAGGCTCAGATCGAATGCATCGAATGCAACTCAGAGGCAGGCAGAGAGAAAGTGTGAGGACTCGTAGGGATGAAAGAAGCAACAGGATAATTTCCATTTCGAACAAGTCGTACCGAAGCATTCGTAGAACAGTGTGCGGAAATCGCGGAAGCACGCGCGACGAGGCAACGACGGCCTGAGGATGAGAAGCGCGTCGCCACGACGGCACGTGTTCGGTAGCGCAGGTGCATCTGGCGTGGGTGAGACAGAAAAGTGTATCGGGAAATGAGCATCTGAAGAGGTTCGAACGCGAAATGAGAAGCCTGATAGAATGACCCACGAGAAAATGACGCTAGCCGAGAAGTATCACCGAACCGGGAGACTAACCTTGTCGGAATAACTATACGGATATCATTGCTTCATCTCCTTATCGACAGCACGGAGAAGTCGCAACCCCGCCAGAAACCGCTCCCAAGGAAAACGCGGTTAGCGAGAGAGTACTAGAGCAGCAGTCGACAGGGGAAGCTAACCGTTGCGAGAACGATAAAAAGTTGTAGCCAGCGACAACGAAGCTAGCGGCCATGGATAGTCCTGAGGACGAAGAAAATGTCGTCGTAACTAAGTAGAGCGGTAAGATGAGACCGAACGGAAAGGAATGCAGGCAAGGAGGTATGGAGACGCAAGAATGAGGAGATAGAGCGGAAAGAATCGGGGAATGGTGGCGATTGGCGCACGGAACGAGTTGTGCCCATTGGGTTGCCCAAGTTGGGAATTCATCGAAACAAAATATGGCTATGTTGCGCGCGGTTGAGATGGTCTCAAAGTGGTTGGATTCTGTTGTGTGCCTGGGTGCTCCCAGTTTCCGCTGGGCCATCACAGGGATGTGTCAGCACAGCCCAAAGTAATCCCAACCAATCCCGAGGTGGGCCAAGCGGCGGAGGAAGAAGCACCGCCCACGAGATTCTCCCGCGAATTTCCGCGAGCGCGCATGATTTTCAACAAACGGCCAAGTGACGAAAAGCGTGTGCGACATGGTGAAATAGCATTTGCGACGCATTGGTTGTTTCGCATGTGCGTACCAAGCAATCCTCTGCTCGGACAATACACTTTTGCGAAACTCGGATGTGTCGCCAAGAACGTCGAGCCTAACGGTTCCGGCAAGGATAGCGCGGGCTCGTGAATGAGCTCCCCCCAAAAGCCTGACACACCACAGAAAAGGCGCAGATTCGGGAGTTTTGCGGAGTGCAGCCTCAGAAGGTGGGGCTGCTGCTCCAACGGGATGCCTGCGGACGGCCCAACTTGGGGAAATTTGTAGAAATGCATCGAAGTTTCTGATTCGTCAAACAAGCTCCATGACTGTCCTGAACATCATCGGGGCTGTTCGCCAGCACCTGTGAAGCCAAAAACCACGGGATAAGGACGGGATCAGGAAGGTGGGTCTCGTCTTCCTGATCACGTCAGTTAGGGTTCGTTTACCTCCGTCAGCCTGATCAGTCCGTAAAAAAGGTGCCGAGCCTCCTCTACCGTCCAAACCAGCAACCAAAGTGGGCGTCTGGCGAACGCCCCTATTTGTCCACCAACTTGAGCTGCTCGACGGCATATGGAAGCGGGGACGCAACTTCGTCCCCAGGCAAAATTCCATCCCCAAGCCATGCCATCGCCATGCCCCGTTTTTCAAAGGACAGCGATGGCACAGCCGTTGCATTGCCGTTCAAAGCCCTTGGGGGGAAGGTGGGGATGGAGGTTCCCGATGCGGTTGCGTAATTTCGCTTTCCGGGCGCATAAGTTTCTCGAGTGGCATTACGCCCAAACCTAGGAGGTGGGTTCCGCCTCCGTTTCCGGATGCGGTCGCGATGCCGATGCCATCTTTTTCATTCAAATTTTCGATTTGCTTGCGAACAGCACCATCGTGTGATCCAAGAGACGTACTGAACTAACAAACGCATCGGATCACCTACACATACTTTTAAATTATTCTTGGATATGACGGAAACATAAACAATCAGCTAACCTTACTATATTGTTCACAAGAAATAAAAATTGTGTGGATCACACTGACATCTGCAACAATAAAAGAGTTTTATTTGTTTATATCCTTCAAATCTGTACTTGTTGAATGGCTTCAATAAAGCAGCACAAATTGAAGCTCACTCATACTTGTTATACCAAATAATACCGTATATATAACTTGTTATACCAGATTAAACAGTAGAATAATACTGTTTGACTGAAGCGGGATTACAAATTACATACATGGAGTGCAGATTGCTGCTTTGCAATCATGGCATATCGCAGCCCCTTGTCAGAAATAAGGAATGAAGAATGAAACAGAGAAGAGGTTTGCACTAGCAGGCAGTTGAGTACATATAGGAAACCCTAATTTGGGCTATACTCGCTATAGAGTACCCCACTGCAGGCTAGACAAATATCACATTCTGACACACCCCCATAGTCAAAGTGGGGTATAATCAGCACAGCAAGCAGTCATAGAGCAGGTTCACAAGTACAAGCAAAGCTAGAGGCATTCACAAAGGGCAAGTGAGGAGGAGGAGGCGGGACTGTGAGAGGAGAGGAGATAGGAGGCGACGGCTGAAGCTGCAGACACACGGGCAACAGGAGTGGCTGGCACAGCGGCTACCGGAGCAGCGTCCCGGACTACTGGAGTAACTGGCTCCGCGGCTAAGACGAGCAGCAGGAGCAACGGACCCACGGGCGACTGGCGCAGCAGGCTCGCTGGGCTACCGGAGCAGAGCCCCGGACTACTGGCGCTGCTGACGACACGACGGCTGCCTCCGCTCAACCTCCCCCAACTGTCCCACCCCCCTTTCACACACCCCTTGCTGCACCCCTAGCTGCACTCCCACGACACCCCCCTAGCACCACTCCCTCGGCTCCCACACACCCACCCCCCTCAGCGGCAGCTGCAGCAGTGGGAGACGGAGGAGGAGGAGGAGCAGGGGACGGCTCACACACCCGCCACCCCCATACTCGCCACCCCCACACTCGCCACCCGCGGGGAGGAAGAAGCCTCGCGGCGCACGGGGGCACGGGGCGGCGCAACGGGAGCACACGGGGCGCACGCGGGTCCCCAGGGCGGCGCGACGGGAGCGCAGGGGGCGCGCGCGGGTCCCCAGGGCGGCGCGACGGGATGGCGGGGGCCGTGCGCGGGCCCCCAGGGCGACGCGACGGGATCGCGGGGGGCGCGCGCGGGTCCCCAGGGGCGACGCGACGGTCGACGGGGGGGACGCGCGGGTCCCCGGGGGCGGCGCGACGGTCGATGGGGAGGGACGCGCGGGTCCCCGGGGGCGGCGCGACGGTCGACGGGGGGGACGCGCGGGTCCCCGAGGTGACGCGCGAGGCAGTAAACCGCCGCGCGCCTCGGGGCGCACGGCAGGCAGAAAACCGCCGCACGCCCCGAGCGCGCGGCGGGCAGAAAACCGCCATGCGCCCCGAGCGCGTGGCGGGAAGTAAAAACGTCGCGCGCCACAGGGCGCGCGACAGACAGGACAGCAGCGGAAGCAGGTGGGCCCACAGGCCAGGAGCGTACTCGCTCTGATAGCATGTCAGAAATAAGGAACGAGAATGAGAACAGAGAAGAGGTTTGCACTAGCAGGCAGTTGAGTACATATAGGAAACCCTAATCTGGGCTATACTCGCTATAGAGTACCCCACTGCAGGCTAGACAAATATCACATTCTGACACCCCTTCCCTTGACAACCCACAACAGCACTGCAGATTGCTGCTTTGCGAAATGCTCCACGGGGGTAGCATGGAAATCGTACAGCACTGCAGCAGCTGAGAGTCTCTTGCAGCAAAGCTGATGGCGTGACAGCGTGACAGAACAGTGTGGGGTTGGTTCCATACAACACCATCACTGGTGCGTGCCCACTGCCTGCGCTGCCTCTTCTTGCGCCTGCTGGCCACCACTGCCCCCCTCCTGCCCCTCCGTGTGCACGCGCACATACCCCACGGGGGGGCACCTCAGATATGTCACCGTCGCTTTGCTGTTGCCCAGGAACAACCGCGCCTGGGGAAATGATATAAGGCAGGACGAGAACGGAGGGGAAGGGTGGAATCGATGGAAGGACGGAGGGAGGGAGGGAGGGATGTTGAGGCCATGATGTGCATGGCATGGATGGGGCAGTGTGGTCACATGTGAGGCGAACAATGCCATGGGTATGGGCATGGATATTGGCATGGATATGCTCCTGGGTATGGCCATGGGAAAGGGTATGGGAGTGAGCATGTGCATGAGCATGAGTATGAGCATGGACATGAGCATGAGCATGGGCGTGGGCATGTGCATGTGCATGAGCACGGGCATGGCATCACCTGGTCCACAGCATCCTGTATGGTGTCTGCCATCTCCCAGTGCAGCACTGCAGGGCCCCGCGGGTCCACAGCACCCACTACATACACCTTGCCCACCTGCCCGGGGGAGGAAAGGGCATCGGGGAACGGGAGAGGGCAGGGTGAGAGAGGGGCCGCGGAGAAGGCATGAGAGCGAGAAAGACGATGGCTGGCAGCATGAGGAGAAGCAGACGCAGGAGCATGATGCCACAGCACGCAACAGTGCTGCTAAACATCCGATCCTTCTGTGTGGTCACATGTCTAGCGCCCCATCAGACCCCATGCCCCACGCCCCACGCCCCACGCCCCACGGGCACATCTTATCCATGCCATGAGCGGCCCACGTGTACATGTAGACCCCACGCACGAGAGCCATACGCCACAAAACCAGGGCATGTTATGTGCCATACGCCCGTGCTCCATACCCACACGCCTGACACCCCACAGCGTGCACACCTTATCCATGCCATGGGCAGCCCACGTGTACATGTAAGACCCATGAACGAGACCCATACGCCCGATACCCCATACCCTCCTACCCCACACCCCACAGTACACACCTTGTCCATGCCATGAGCAGCCCACGTGTACATATAGAACCCATGCACGGCAGCAGGCCCCAGGCCCTGGCGGTATATGTCATTCAGCCGCTCGTCCTCCACAAACTGCTGCTGGTAGCGCTCAAACTCGTCCAGCCCTGGTGCGATTGCCAGCACCTCCTCAAAGAGGCGCCGGTACGCGTCGTGTGCGGGGGAGGACCACGCGTAGTTCATCTCGTTCACCATTATCTGTGGGGCGGTGGTGGTGCGGAGTGTAATGGGGGGTGGGGTGCGGTGGGGTGCCGTGGGGTGGGATGGATGTATGTAGGGAGAGGGAGGGTGTACGGAAAGGAGAGCTGTCGTAGGCAGGTGTAATGACGTGAGCACGGGCACACTGTGTTGGTGTTACTTTTGAGAGATTTCAAATGTAGGTGGATGTGGTGAATTGAGCACGGGCTACACACCCATGAATGATGTGTGTGCGTTCATTCAGTCGAACCCGCATGGCACAGCATGGCATCACATGGCATGGTATGGCATGACGCATGGCGTGGCATGGCATCATGGCATGACATGGCATGGCATGGCATGATCTCTCACCACACAGCCGCCCTCCTTGAGTAGAGGCACACCATCCACATACCTGGAGGGGGAGGGAAGGGGGGGGGAAGATTCGGGGAGTTTGGAAGGTGCGCGCACGGAGGGGAGGGGCGGGGGCAGGGGGGGGTGTATTCATGGAGGCGAGGAAGGCGAAAACGAAGTGGAGGGATTGTTGTAAGTCGAGCAGGCTTGAGTTGGCATGCACTAGTAGCATTGCACACACACAATACACGTGCACAGGCACTGGGGCAGAGCATGCAGTCAAATGAGTATGAGCAGAGGCAACTCACATGTTGTAATAGTATCCCAGCGCGTAAGTGTTCACCTGCAGTCGCGCACCCATGGGGCACGGGGGTCGGTTAGAATGCGGAACGACTGAGAAGAGCATGGATGGGCAGCAATGATGGGTGCAGCACACGGCATGCACATAGGTAGCAACACATGGCAGGAGAAACAACTCCTCGACGGCTTGCCCCAACACACAAGCGCATGCGCCTGTGCGATTCCCCATGCATCCACAATACCTATTGTTTTCAGACAATGTGTGGCAGAGCGGATCAGAGCAGCAACAGCACAGGCGTTTGTGGAGAGAGAGTGCGGTGCGGTGCGGTGCGGGAGGGAGGGAGAGAGAGAGCGGCGTACGCACGAGCAGGGGGTTGAGGAACATGTCTTTGGTGTAGGGCCCCAACGCACTGGGCGCCATAATGAGTATGTCCGCCTGGGGGAGGGCAGCAGGGCACGCGGTGGGGTGGGGTGGCGGGTGCAATGCAATGCATGGAACACGAAGGGTGTGTATGTTTGAGTCGACTCAGAGATCGCACGAGCAGGGGGGTGAGATACATGTCTTTGGTGTAGGGCCCCAGCGCACTGGGCGCCATAATCGTGTTCTGAGTCGACTCAAAACAGGACTCATTACACGCGGTGTCTTTGGTGTAGGGCCCCAGCGCACTGGGCGCCATAATGAGAATGTCCGCCTGGGGGAGGGCAGCAGCGGGAGGGGTTGTGGGGGATGGCATGCATGCGATGTGTGGAAACACGGGGCTGTGGTGGTGCCAAGGTGACAGGGTAAAGCCACGGTGGAGTAGGAGGAGAGAGGAAGAGGAAGTGAAACGGAAAGGGAAGGGGAAAGGTGCCCCTCAGAAGCACCTTCAGGCTTGAGCGCTGCTTATCGCCTATCTATCCCTTCTACAAGAAGGCACTCAGGTCAGAGCAACCAGGTTTACAGGATGAGAGGAGAGGAGAGGAGAAGCGCATTGAATTCCGTTGCAACCCCCCTGCTGTCAACTCACCTGGCCTTGCACGTCCATGACCTTGTCCCGGTAGATGGCTGCCAGTGTCCTCTCATGCCTTTTGAGACATCTCAAAAGCATCCCGTAGCACCCCTTGCTGTCAACTCACCTGGCCTTGCACGTCCATGACCTTGTCCCGGTAGATGGCTGCCAGGGTCCTCTCTTGAGGCGCCTCAAAAGTCAGCTCAGAGCAACCAGGTGTACAGGAGAGGAGAGGAGAAGCGCATTGCATCCCATAGCACCCCCCTGCTGTCAACTCACCTGGCCTTGCACGTCCATGACTTTGTCCCGGTAGATGGCTGCCAGTGTCCTCTCATGCACCGCCTGGGTCTCCCCTGCTGTCACCTGCACCGCACCGCACCGCACCGCACCGAACCGCACGAATCAGCATTGAGACGCAGAACAGCATAATAGCTTCACCGCCAGCACTGCTGCTCGCCAGCGAAACAACTCAGCGTTTTGCACACTGGATTGCCAAGTTGTAAGACAAGGTGGAGTGTGGCTACCCTACCCCCCTCCACCTTCCCCTTCTCCCTCCCCTTCCCCCTCCCCTTCCCCCTCCCCTTCCCTCCTCTCTCTGCCCTGCCGTACCTGCAGCAGGCCGAACGGGGCTCGCATGAACCAGAAAATCTTGACGCACAGCCACAGCGGCAGCAGCTGGAGCACGCCGGGGGAGAGAGAGACGGGGGGGGGGTGGGAAGGAAAGAGAGGGTGAGGAAAAAGGCACACAAGGAAAGAGACAAGGAAATTCAGGCTAAGGAGAAGTGTGCTGGCCCTCCGCTTGCTCAAGCCTCACCTCTTTCTCACATTCCTCTCCTTCCGTACCTCACCTACCCGTTTCTACATGCTGGCCCCTGGTCGCACATGCTCGCTTCCCCCCTTGGCCCCACCTTGAGCAGCAGCACTGTGGAGTGCATGAAGAGCTTGTGCCGTGGGGTTCACTTGCGCACTAGCTCGGACACCAAGCTTATGTAGAACGGGAACAGAGGGGCGGCGGTGGTGGCACTGGTGGTGCTGGTGGCAACTCCCCTGACTACTCCTCCTCGCCCCCTGGACCCACCTTGAGCAGCAGAATAGTGGAATGCATGAAGATCTTGTGCAGCGGGTTCATGTTGCGCACTAGCTCCGACACAAAGGTTGTGTAGAACGGGAACAGCTGCACGGGGGGAGGAGACAAGGGGCCAGTGGTGGTGGGCGATGGGGGGGAAGGAGGGGGGGGGGTCAACTCAAGAATTGGTTCATGTTGCGCACTAGCTCCGACACAAAGTCCGTGTAGAACGGGAACAGCTGCACGGGGGGAGGGATGGGGGAGAGGGAGGGTGGGAGTGGGGGTTGGTTGCTGTAGTATGGTGGCGGAGGGGTGTGGGAGGAGGCATGTGCCGCGGTGGCGTGATCGAGGCAGGATGGAGGGCAGATGCGGAAGGGCAGGTGGCGACGCAGGAGAGGAGGATGCAGGGAACGTGGAGCATGGTGCAGGGAGGCGGACGGGCAGGTAGGCATCATCATCACCCAGGTGCTGATGTGGGCATGCAGGCATGCGGGCATGTGGACATGGGGGCATGTAGGAATGGAAGCAAGTGGGCATGCAGCCATGCGGGCATGCAGCCACGCGATGCGGCATGGAATCGCAGACCTGGTCATCGATGACAGTCTCAACGTGGAAGACGTCTGTGTGCTTCTGCATCATGCGCCCGATGCGGTGGAACGTGGTGCATGGTGCATGCAGGCGGACAGGCGGACAGGCAGGCAGGTAGGAACACACACCTGGTCATCGATGACAGTCTCAACGTGGAAGACGTCTGTGTGCTTCTGCATCATGCGCCCGATGCGGTGGAACGACTTGTGCAGGGCATGCGGGGGATGGGGGCATGGTTGCATGCAGGCATGCGGGCACAGACCTGGTCATCGATGACGGTCTCCACGTGGAACACGACTGTGTGCTTCTGCATCATGCGCCCAATGCGGTGGAACGTGGTGCATGGGGCATGGTGCATGCACGCGGACAGGCAGGTAGGAACACACACCTGGTCATCGATGACAGTCTCAACGTGGAACACGTCTGTGTGCTTCTGCATCATGCGCCCAACGCGGTGGAACGACTTGTGCAGGGCGCTGCGCGTCGGGTCAAACAGCGACCTGCCAGCCATGCGCACAAACAGCCCAGGAATCGCAAACAGTCCAGTTCAGCAGCACACGAGCTGTTGCCCTTGGTAGGGAATGCGCGAATCGAGAGAGAGACAAGGCGTGGGGGAGATCACGGGTCGAACTGTAGCAGTATTGCTGGTATTTTGGGTTTAAAGAGTACGTCCGGCGGTTCACAGGTGCTGTTCCCCCCCCCCCCGGTCAGCTCAAGTCATACTTGGTGTTGCGCAGTGTCTTGGAGTCATGGTTGTGGCGCAGACACTTGTAATGCACCTGCATGCATGCACGTATACACATGTGCACATATGAATGCACACACACACACACACACACACACACACACACACATACACACGCACGCACGCACGCACACACACACACACACACATACACACACACACACACACACACACAGAAACAAACCAGGTAACCACATATCCACACACACACAAGCAACAGAGCACAAACTTAATGCACCGTGCCAGTGCACGAAAGCGGCTCGTCCAATACGCACCCACAAACCAACCCAGGACACTCCAAACATACCATCACCGCCCTCCCTCTCTCCATCCCCTCACTCCCTCCACCTCCCACTCGCCCCGTCTCTCCATGCGCCAAACTCAGCAGCCCTTCTCACCCGCCCTGCCTTCAGCGCAACTCAGCAGCCCAGCTATGATACGTCATGCAACAACAGCTCACCAGGCCGGTGGCGTACGACTTGTACCCGCCGTGTTTTGAGTCGACTCAAAACACTTTCAGCGCAACTCAGCAGCCCAGCTATGATATGATACGTCATGCAACAATAGCTCACCAGGCCAGTGGCGTACGACTTGTACCCGCCGTCCATGCTCACGTAGTTCACATTCGCGTACACCACCAGATCCGCCTCCGCAAAGTGCCGGTTGATCTGCATGCCATGCCACAGCACAGCACAGCACAGGGGTGGGAACGACGGAAAGTGTGCGAGCAGCAGCAGTGGATGGACAATAAATACTGACGAGAACGCTGCATCAACTGCTGTGGCCATGGAAAGCTTCGCACCCCTCAACACCCACCCTTGACACCTTCACTCCGCTCTCCCACCTCCCGCACACCACCCCCTCCCTCTCCCCCCCTCTCCCCTCACCTGAACAGCCTCCCCGTGTCGTGTAACTCTAATATCCACTGTCTCGTCCATATCCACTGCATTGTAATTCCCCATGCTCTCCTACCTCCCCAACCCCATCCCCCCCATCCCCCCCCTCCCCAATCTCCCCTCACCTGCACGGCCTCCCCATGGCGCGTCACACCGATATCCACAGTCTCGTCCATATCAACCGCATTGTAATTCCCCATCCGCTGCGGGTAGTACTTTCCGTACAGGTACCCCCCGCAGATGTGTTTAAACTCGTCTGCTCGGATATAGCGGTGCAGAGCGATGGAGCACACAAAGTGGATATCCGTGATGCCCAACGCCATGCAGTCGCGCTCCGCTTCTTCCAAGATCATCTGCCGTATGTCTGGGCTGCGCATGGGCGGCAGCGGCACGCTCACGTCGTCAAACGCCATCAGGATCTGACGCAGGGTGAGGAGGAGGGGGGTGTGGGGAGGTTGAGGGGAGGATGAGTCGTGTTTTGAGTCGACTCAAAACAGCGGCACGCTCACGTCGTCAAAGGCCATCATGATCTGACGCAGGGTGAGAAGGGGGAGGGGGGGGGGTGTGGGGAGGTTGAGGGGAGGATGCGACTTTTGAGGCGCCTCAAAAGTGGGCTGCGCATGGGCGGCAGCGGCACGCTCCCATCGTCGAAGGCCATTAGGATCTGCCCCCGGGTGAGGAGGGGGGGTGTGGGGAGGTTGAGGGGAGGATGAGTCCGGGAGAGACGGGAGGGAAGGTGGAGGAGGTGGGGGATGGTTGGGATGGGGATGTGGGGTCTCGTGCATGGGTGACATGACATGAGCGCCTAGTGTAGCGAGGCGTTGGAGATGGAGAGGTTAGGGAGTGCAATCGGGAATGGAGAAGAACGGTGCTGTCCTGTCAGCCACAAAAAGGCAGCTGGAAAAGCGGACAATTGAGACAATGGGTTGCAGCAGCAGCAGCAGCAGCAGCAGCAGCAGCAGCGGCGGCGGCGGCGGCGGCGGCGGCGGCGGCGGCGGCGGCGGCGGCGGCGGCGGCGGCGGCGGCAGCAGCAGCAGCAGCAGCAGCAGCAGCAGCAGCAGCGGCAGCGGCAGCAGCGCACCTTGGGGTTGGGATTGGCCTGCTTGATCTGCTGCAGTCTTTCCTTTAGCGGCGGCTGCCCCACGGGGTTGTCCAGAGCGTGCCGTATCATGGCACGCATCTGTGTGCCCGTACCCGTGGCCGTGCATGCAAGTGTGCGCGCGTGATGGGGAGAAGGGAGGGGGAAGGGGGGAGAGGGAAAGACGGGGAGGAGGGGGGAAGAGTTGGAAGGCCATCAAAGGAGAATAGATGATGAGGGGCGGAGCAGAGGTGGTTGGGAGGGCGGCAGGCATGCGGGTGGAAGCGATTAGAGAGGATGTGAGGCGTGGCAAGTGGATAGAGGGAGAGCAGAGCACAGCGCGTGAGCAGGACAAATGGATCAGAAACAAACTGCGAGGAACCATTGCACGATACATGTTGTGTGTGTGGGTGCACGAGAGGGAGGGAGTGCAGAGTGTGAGAGGCGTGGCACTGGCCTTGTTGGGGTTGGATTCGCCATCCTTGCACAGCCCAGGGTACACCACTCTTGTACCCTCGGGTAACTCCAGCAGGTCCATCCTCTCGCCAGTTTGAAACAGAAACTTCTCACCCTGCAAGTCACGTCATGCCCACGCCACGTCATGCCATGCCAGACCATGCCATCCCATGCCCACGCCACGTCATATCATACCACGCGAAACCATGCCGTGCCATGTCCACGCCAAGTCATGCCATGCCGGCATGACCGTCACACGGCACAACAAGGCAATGGATGGCAGGCGGCAGCAGAACGCTGTGTTGTGTTCAGCGCGAGAGGGGAGGCGTGCGGGCGGTAGTGCATGGTACGATTGGCCCATTGGCAGACAGCCAGCAGTGCACCCATGTGCGTGGGATGCGCATAAGGACACGTGCGGCATTGCACTCCCCGTCTCCACTCGAACCGTTTGAGACTTCTAAGTCCACTCAAAAGCCGCCCTTCATCCCGTGCTTTCTCTTCACCTCGCCTCACGGCTCGCCCTCACCATCCCACCTCCCCCCTTCGCCGCCCCCCACCCACCTCCTGTTTTATCCCTATTTGAAGGCCCGTGGCGCACCTTTTTGGAGTAGAAGACCTGCTGGGGCCGCTTGTGCGTCCCTGCCGTGTTCACCCAATCAGCAGGCGCCACGTCACCGCTCTCTGCTGCACGGCATGCGACACGCGTCCGTCTGTCCGCCTGCCTGCTGACGCTCCATACGGCCCGTGTGCGCGCGCGTGCGGCGGAACGCTCCCCGGAAGGCGACGAATGCGCGCGCTGTAGGGGGACGGGGAGGCGCCTGGCGGGGACCACGCGGAAACATTGGCGCGCAGGGATCGTGGGATGACGTGGAGGGTTACGCAAGAATTTCGCTGAAGTGCTGGGAATGCACGGAGGGCCGGGAATTCACGCACCTAAGTGGTGTAGCGAGCTGACGTGGCAAGAACGACGTGGCAAGCTCCGCATATCTCGCGGAGCGCAGACCTCGCGATCCACGCTGCAGCTGCAAGCCACGGGGGGGCTGTAGTAGCCGTGTCGGCCCGCCCATTCCCACAGCAACGCGCGACGGCGTACCAGCGCCGTGGATCGCGGGCGACGAGGCTTGCCCCATGCCAAGCCAATGCGGGCTATTACTATATCTAAAGAACAGCTGACGCGGGAAAGGGGGGGCTGGTCGCGCGAATCCTTGCAGCAACGAGTCAGGCGGGCGGCGGGCGGCGCGCTAGGCAGGGCCAGCGGGGAGGGCCAAAGAGGGGGGAGTCACAGAAGCCGGCAAGCTGAGAACGCTGGCCCGTGGGTTGGTCCGAGATCAGACCTAATTTTTCGTTTTGGGCATTCTTTCAAAAAAGAGTGACTGTGCGGGCCACTCGGCCCGGGCCCAGTGGCGCTCGCCATTTGCGGGCCGGGTAAAAACGGCGGCACACTACACTGGGCCGGGTAAAAAATTGCTGTAGTCTTTGAAGCAGCGGGTTTTAGGGACTTGAGCGTTTTTCCCCTGCCAGAGAGGAGAACGAACAAATTTCAGTTTTTCCGCGCCGAAAACAGCCGAACCAGACACCAGCTGCGTTGTTAAAAAAAATCCTTTAGATGGGCCGAGTTCAAATCCTCTCTTCCTGCTCTTGCAGGGTGAGCTCCAAACTGTACCCGGATTTCAAGGGTAATCAAGGTAACCACTTTGCCAAGATTAGCCCTGTCGAGATAGTTGCTGAGAAACATTCTGACATGGGGATGAACAGAGTCTTGAGAGGGAGGAAATAGCGGCTTGGGTGCTGCCGATTGCCGAACATGGAAGGGTTGGATGCATGTAGTGGGGGGGGAGGGATAAGGGCGTGTAACTTTGTTCCGACCAAACGAAATGGTCGACCATATGGACGGTTCTGACGATTGCGAAGTTTGTAGGGTTACTCAAACAGTTTGTAGTCACCCTGACCTGACAGAAATCGGATGATATTATTTCGTATAAACTTGCCCACCAAGCTAGTTAACGCTCTACTTAGCAGGAGATCAATGTTTGACATTCGGTTTTCGCCATGAATGTGTTTTCATACCACCGTTATTTTGCTGAACAATCTAATCTATCCGCGCCTACTATTTTCCACACCCAGCTCGATGCTGGAACTGGGATCAAACCTTTTCCGACAAATTTCGAGGGTGGTTTAGGGTGGTTGTTCCGCGTCCTGGCGAACAGAATGGTCGTTGTGCTCGAAATGTTTGGCGGGGCTCGCCGAATCGTTACACGTTTCGCTTTCGCCAGATCCAGCCATCGGATTTTGGGCTTGGTCGAAGCAAAGTTACACGCCCTAACTGACGTGGCAGGCAACATCGCACTTTGCGGAGATATTTCTGGTATTCCTATTATACAGTGTCTCGGGTTTATATCAAAACTTTCGGAAAACAGTGGTGCTACAATAAATGGGATAATAAACAGCAAGTCATCCAATATATACACGAGAAGCTCAAGTCAAATTTCCCTCTAATGCAACAATTTTATTAACCAGCACTAACGCCCAAGGGCTGCTGGCCATGTTGCAATACTTGCAATTCAAATTTCTCTATGCCATCCACGCGGGTGTTGCAGCCTGGGCATCTAAAGACGCGATGGAGAGACATACGTGTGTGGATACAGTAATAGCAAAACACGTGGGCACACGGTAGTGCACGATATGGCATGAGGATGGGCTGTGCAGAGCATACAGGGCACCCATCGCCAGCGGTGGGGGATGCAGAAGACGGGAGGCGGAAGAGGGAGGTAAAGGTTTGCTTGATTGCCGACACGCTGATCAAGGGAAGCACCAGCAGCAGCAGCTCCTGCGAAAACAGACGGCGCAAATGGCAGAAGATCATCAGAGGCAGAGATCATACAGAATCTCTCGAGGAAGCTGCACGAGCTAAGTACGAGAGAACAGAGGATGTGCAGGCCTTGTGGGTGGAAGGGGGGGGAGGGATGTGATGTGAGGGTGACTGACCGAGAACTCGTTCCACACGAGCTGGCGATTCATGTACTCAAAGCTGACAGCCCGCGCCATGTGTGGCTTGGCATACACCGCCCTTATGCCCAGCAGCCGCTCCGGCAGCGTGCGGAACCTGCCGACACACACAGAAGGACAACGAGAGAGTCTGATAGACAGGCGAAAAGACAGACAGACATGCACGTGGCAATGGTAGTGGGACCGCAAGCAGCTGCGTGGGAGAATGCAAAGCAGAAGCAGAAGCGAATTGTGGAAGCAGAGAAGGGCGATGTGCTAACTGGGAAGCAGACAGAATTGAAGACGAGAGAGGAAGAGGAGAAAGAGGCAGGGGAATCACTTGGCGGAATGAAGAAAGACAATGAGGTTAAGCAGTGACGCCAGTTTCACTGCACCCTCTGCCCGATGCAGCAGTCGCCACAGCCAGTGGCGCCATGATGCCTGCACACACATGGGGCAGGCAGGGCACCACCATGCAGCATAGGGAGGGCCAGAGGAGGGAATTAGGGAGAGAGGAATTAAGAGATTTGGGAACCTGGAACCATCCGCTAACTACAGCATACGAAGCCAAACAAGCAGTGGGACGGCGAAGGGTGGCAGGGCAGAATCAGACCTGCTGTCGTTGAAGCGCCTCGCTCCCTGGGCCCTGCCTTGCATAGGCGTTGTGCGGCATGTGTGCGTGCACGGGCAGCAGCCAACGCGTGGAGTGCAGGCGCGCCCACACGTACTTGAGCCCCCCTGTGAGCACCAACCACAGCACCTTCTGCCCCACCGTCAGCCCCGGCCCCTCCACCCCCGTCCGCACTGCCACGTGGCCACGCAGGGGGACGTGAGGGACAGATGGGGGAGGGTGGGGGACGGTGGGGTAGAGCGGGGAAGAGAAGGAGAGGGTGGGGGGAATGAGAGGGGGAGAGTGAGGGAGAGTGGACAAGGGAAGAGTGCATGTGCCTGGGAACACGTCAAAGCAAGGCGGAAAGCGCAAGACACGCCACGTCATTCCTGCCCACACAGGGCAAAGCATCCCACCTGCTATTGCAGGCGGTGCAGCCGCTCCCGCCCCCACGCCCATCCCCGCGCGTGGTGCGCGCTCGTCTCTGAAGCGGAGGTTCATGAGCGCGCAGCCGGGCAGGGGGCGGTCGGCCCAGAGGGAGAAGCGCCACACGAGCACGTCCAGCAGCAGCTCTAGCTCCGCCTCACACCTCGCCACCCACGCCGCCTGCCATGCACGGGCGGACGGGCAGGGCGGAGGGTACGCGGCAGGCCAGGGTGATGGGGTAGGGATAGGGGATAGGGGTATGAGGGCGGGACAGAGCGGAGGAGCAGGGGGAAGCGAGGGGACGGGGGGGACACGGGGCGTGCGGGGAGAGGGGAGGCGCGTTGAGGGGAAGGGGGTGGGAAGGGGGTGCATACTCGGAATATGGGGTGAAAGGAAGAATGCATTAGGAGTGAGGGGCGGTGGGGCGGTGGGAGAGGAACGGAGGTGGGCCGAGCAGGGAGGAGGAGGTAACGTACCGGCACGAGAGCGAAGACCCGCATGAGCTGCTCCTTGAGCATCAGCCGCATTTCGTCGTCCAATCGCAACGCATCCATCTGATTCACCCGCAGCACGTGCAAGCCACGCGCCACGTCGGTGCGCTGCAATGAACGACGAACAAGGGAACGGTTGGGTAGAACAGATTTCATGCATAGCCTCTGGCTACGTACGACGCGAGGCGAGAGTGAGCGGGACCAGCCAACATACTTCTAAGTAACAGAACGGAAGGAGAGAGTCGACATGGTGGTATGATTGAACGTGATTCTAGCGCGGCGCACCTGCAGCTGCTGCTGGATTGACTGCAGTTCGCCCGCGTGGCGCGCGACAACTGAACGCCACGTGGAGCCATCTGGTAGCTCCGCAACTCCACGGGAATTGCGGGATAGGGTTGATTCGGTTTCTTGACATGGTCTGTCCATTGGACTCATCGAGCACGATCCTTGAGAGATGCGGATAGGAGCAAGTGAAAAAGTACGTGGTTCATTATCATTCAAGCACCTCAGGAAAGAATATCTGACAACCACGTAGCTTGCTCTTATGTGGCACTTGCGTTATGTCTAAGGGACACATGCTAGAGTCACGGTTGGGGCGCGTTACAAGTACAGGTGTTCTGGGTTATAGGCTCTCGCTAAAAGAGTCCCTTTTCCCCCTTGAGTAGAATTTTCCGATATCGCCTAGGTGTAGCCCGACCTCTACAGTCCCTTTTTTGGCGGGAAATTTTGCAGCTTGACCGAATCATTGCACGAAGTTCAAGGGCGTGTGTGAAAATTTCTGAAGTTCGGAATAAACGTCGAACTTTAGGTGGTCACCCGTTTCGTGAATGTCGCGGAAATCCGTTGGCGACAGCATAGAAATGTTGGGCGCACATAACTGCGAATTTCAAATGTGAACTCGACTCGAGTCGAATGGGTGAACGTACGTGATCACGTTGAAACGAGCGTGTGTGTTTTCAGCACGTACGAAGCCCATGCGAATTTCGCGACGCATTGCGAAACAGGAAACGGCAGTACGTTGACGTGGCGAGCTGTTCAAGACTGTACCGAGCAACCTACGGGTTCGAATTTTTGTGTTCGACCTTGCGTGTGTGATTGTCACTCGTCTTAGTTGGGGACCCGCGGTTCGTATTTCTCTTCAAGGAAAGTCGAGTTGTGTTCGGTATATGAACGAATCCTACATTCGACCTAAAAATGTAAACCTTTGCATATTTCAAAGATCACACGCGCCCTAAAGAAGGGATCCTTGGTTCCATATTTAACTTTGTAATTGTATTTAATTGTTTATCTTGACAGTGCTTACTTCTCAAACCAGTCGTGCGGTCCCCAGCGCGCTCGACGATGACATCTCATTTATCTCGCTTACAGGGTAAAACAAAAGTTTTTACCTTCTATTCATGCCCCAAACCGTAATTGGTTTTGTTTTGTTTTCCCCGTTAGTCATGCGACATTGATCAATGCGGGAAACCGTGCGACGAGAAGTTGAAGCGAGCGCGGTCCAAATCTACGTAAAAGACTAAAAACAAAACCTAGTAGCAAACAAACCGCTCTGCATGCAATTTTCCTGAAACGGGACTATAAGAATCCCGTTTTGCCCGTGGTTTGAAGGTTTTCGCACATAGTCCACGCGCGGCGTGTCATTCCGTCGGACTATAAACAAGAACATCTGTAAATGGTCCGAGGGCTAGTTTGGGACACCGATCTTGCACACCATTTCCTCCGAACCTACGGACGTTCGGTTTGCTGGTTTCCAATACCGAGCTTGACACACCAACGAGAGGAAATGACGAACCGCCGTGTTTTCTTGTTTCAGATTCCAAAGGGCAGTGGTTTTGACTGCGCATCGCTCCGCGATCGCGCCCAATTCCCAGGGGCAGTTTGTTGGCCTTAAAGGCCCAAGCCAGAATTACCGAGTCGGGTGGCAAAGTGTCACCACTTTCACGTGATTGGTCGAAGATTTTCAGTTGGTTTTTTACGGGATTGGTTTTCGAATTTCCAACCGAACCTCCTTCTGGGGTTTTCCGAACCTACAATTTCCCCGTTGACTTCGTTGTGTGATTCGGGTCTTGTAGGTTATTTTCCGGGGCAAAAAACAAATACCCTCTCGGGAAAGACATGTAAACTTGGGCGGCATCAACCCTAAACGCAATGTGATAAGGTGTTTAGGGTTGATGCGTCCCCTGTACGCATGCCTTTCCCTAGAGGGTGTAATTTTTTTTTTGCACCTGTAAAACTGTTTTTAGAAAATAAACTGACCGTGGGAATTGGACGCGATCGCGGAGCGATGTGCGGCCAAAACCACTGCCCATTGGAATCGAAAACAAAAAAACACGGCGGTTCGTCATTTCCTCCACCAACAAGTTACAGGATTTCCGCCGAAGCGCCCTGTAAATGCAGGATGTTTAGGGCACTCGTGACACAGCTTCTCTACAGAGTACGCAACCATCATAACTAAAAATTATGCCCACAATTTAGTTTATTTCCCTCAAGGAATCTTGTTTCTAGCCTACCCACGTCCGACCCTGTCTGGTAGGCTCTCCAATGGGTGAGGTCCCGGGATCAATCCCCCGTGCCGACGTATTCTGCCAGCCTCCCATAAGGGGGTTCGCACGTGCTCACCTTGGGAGTGGATAAACAGTAATCACCCGGATATAACACCCTAGGGTCTTACTTTAAATACAGGGAAAAATGGGGGGTGGGGGGGGGGGGGGGGGGGGGGGGGTCTTCTTATTGGGAAATTGTATATAATACCCGGGTGTATTTATAAGCCACACATTTTTTTAACCAGAAAGAACTGGGAACAAAGGGTCTGGCTTCACTGGTATAATTTTAATCAGGGGCGCAATACGGAATATACGAAGATAACGTAACCCCCCACTGGAATCTGCCACATGGCAAATTCCAATGGGCCAACTCTGGCACCTGATAGGGTGAAAACAGTGCCAACGTCGCGCGACGAGGGCCCATGCACCCTCCGAGGCTGGAATCACGCACGGTGTTGCGCTGCCACTGTTTCAGTCACCTCTTGACTGGTTTAGTCACATCCCTGTCCCTCAAATGACTCTCATCGTCCCTTTGTGTGGCGGCTCCAGCGCACGAATTATGCGCTCACATCGAAAGAGAAGCTTCATTGGTTGAAGATGCAAGATGTCAAACTATCATGTTATGTAGGCTATAGTGGGGTAGCCCATATGGGGTACAACCCAATTAGGGTTTGCTACTTGTACTCCTGCATGCTGTTAATTTGGTCATTCTCGTTCAGTTATTTTGACACAAGACTCTAAGCCGGACCTGTCGAATCAAGCTCTGGCGAAGCTCGCGAAGGTGCAGCCCTGCCAGATCCGCGACTGGAAGAAGATGAGGAAACGACTAGAGGTCGCTTCCGGATGCCGCTGTTGCCTCATGGGGGTTGGTCGCAAAGTACCCATTTATGGAACGGGCGGTCTACCGTCAGTTCCTTAATCAACGGGCGAAGGGGCTCGCAGTGTCGGTCAACATGCTGCAGAAGTGGAGCGCCAAGTACATGAAGCATCGGATGCCCGGGGTGAATTGGCGCGCGTCGTTTCGCTGGTCTACTTGTTTCAGCGCTCGTTGGTACTTGGCAAGGCGGGTGTAGACTAAGACGGGGCAGAAGTTGGTAGCGGGTAAGTGTCGCGTTTCAGTGCGTTCATTAATGACTACGATGTCGTTCTAATGCGGACCGTGGTTCTGTTTGCAGATTGCAAGGCGAAGGTCGAGGCGTTTTGGAAGTTTGTGCGCCAAATAGGCACTCTGCACGACTACCAACTCGACCTCATCGTGAACGCGGACCAGACTGCGCTTATTCTGGAGATGCCGGCGGAGCGAACGCTCGAAATGAAGGGAGCGCGGATGTTTCACGTAAAGAGTGCGGGCTACGAGAAGGAATGCGTTACTGTCATGCTGGCAGTAACGGCCGGAGGGCTGAAACTTCCACCATACGTCGTGTTCAAGCGCAAGACCGTCCCGAAAGTACCCATCCCTGCCGGTAAGTGAACCATATATACGATTTAGCCCGTGCTCTTGCATGACACACTATCCGACCGTACCTGACCCTCTCGTTATATTCGACAGGTGTGGTGGTCCGTGCACAAGAGAAGGGATGGATGGATGAAACCCTTGTGCAAGACTGGATCACCCAGGTGCTTGTGCCGTTTCTGAAGCCCCTGCAAGAGACTACCGGACGCCGCAGGGAGGCCTTGGTGGTGCTGGACTCCTACCGAGGCCACTTGACCAAATTTGTTGGTCAGACGATGCGAATGTTTAGGGTGTCGAGGGCGGTCATCCCAGGGGGATGCACACCGCTTGTGCAGCTGTTGGATGTATCGATGAACCGCGCGTTTAAGTGCGATGTGAGGCATCGATACATCACCCAGTTCGAAGAAGTCGGCTTCAACCTGACACCGCGCGCAGGTGAGTTGATGCCATGAGTTCCATTTACGCAAACTTCGCTAGAGTGCCTGCGCACGCTCTGCAAGTCCACACTCGTGGTTGTGTATCCCTTCCCTTCCCTCACGCAACTTGCAGAAGCCACCTGCGGAGACGGTTCTACGCTGGATCGACAAATCCTAGGAAGCTGTCCCGGAGGAGCTCGTGAAGAATTCGTTCGTCACCTGCGTGATCCCCACCAGCATCGACGGCACCGAAGACCACCTCATCCTTGCCCACCTGCGGGACAAGGGTGAGGTGGAGGTGATTGACGATGCCAATGAAATGATTGACGACGAGACTGTCGTCGACCCCTTCTACGCTGAAGTCCCCATGCCGGCCGACGAGCTGCAGGTGGAAGAGGAGGATGACGCTGCAGAGGCGGAGGCGGAGGCGGCAGAGGAGGAGGGGGACGGGCCTGCAGAAGGCGGGGAGGCGGGAGAGTGCAGCGATGACGGAGATGACTGGTGGCACCCCGGGCGCTATGACGGAGAGGATGTTGAAGAATGGCACGCATGGGAGGATGATGACTAGATAGCACCTAGAAAGCACCTTATGGAAAGCCTGAACTTTGAGCCGGTGATGTCCTTGTTGTTTCTCTGAAAATCTAGGGATTAGTTGCTGGCGGTAAATTGTAGTAGTAGATTGAACCCCTAACCATATGAAATATCAGAGAAATTAGCATTTTTGCTGCACATAACATCCCCCCCCCCC